CGGCGCGGGGGCGGAATTTAGGAGCTGGCGTTCACCGGCGTGGTCTGTAGTGACAGGGCACAGCAGCTGGGACAAGCCGATCCTTGTACTCTGCCTGGGACTAGAGGGAGTCCCTGTGTCCCTGCTGTGTCCGCTAATGCTGTGTTTCTAACGTTGGCATCATTAGTAAGAGCCTGGAGACAGTTGTGGCAAGTTGACCCGTGGCAGCTTGTGGGGGGGGGGGCAGCACTGTGTTCCTCCAGGGCAGGAGGGGGGGAGAGGAGCTTGGTGCGAGCTGTGGGCAAGGACAGAGGAAGGAAGGAAGGAAAACCTGTCCGGGGCTTGCAGCAGCCGCTCAGATAGGTTGCTCAGACCTGCACGGTGCACTAGGTGGTATTTGTAAAGCCATCTGCTCGGGCTGGCCGCAGCCAGTGCCTCTGCTCGGGCTCTCCTGGAGGAGGTGCTCTGGCAGGCAATGCATTGTGTGGTCTCCTGCTGCAGCACCAGGTCCTTGCTTGATGTGTTCATCGAGCGTTGTTGCCATTCGCAGCCGAAGGGTAGTCTTGGAGGGTTATCTTCTTGCCCATCGGAAAGAGAGACTAGAGCAATGTCATTCAGGAGCAAAAGCAGATGCAGTTGGAAGGGCACATAAGGATTAGGTTTTTCTTCAGCTATGCCAACATTATAAAATATGAAATTGTCACTAGTGCTAACTGTTATGATTAGACAGACCCTTCCAGCCGAATGTACTGGACCATACATATGAAAGCTATGTTTCACTCTGAACAGTCCTTAAAATGTCAATAGCCCATCAAATAGCAATGAATATCTTAAAAGGAAGAGGCTTCCTGCCATCTTGAGGTGTCAGGATTGTGCACGTACAATCTCACCCATGCTAAACTCATATGTACTTATTTTTTGGTTAGACAATTTTGTATAAGTTCAGCAAGCCGTTATAGGTGCTACCTCTTTGCCGTCCCTCTGCTAAGGGGTGTCTAATCTCCTTCCAGTCTTTCACGTATTTATTATCCAGCATTCCTGTGAGCTCTGACGAGACACAAACAGGCTAAGTGAGGTGACTGAAGTGATACAGGAAGTCTGTGGCAGAGCAAGGACATAGGCTCTTTCACTCCTTCCACTTCTTTCAATCCATCTGGAAGAGACGAAGTTGTATATTAATATATATTCAAGTCTAGTTATGAAACAGATATTATCCTAGATCCCTGTATGTTACTGACGCTCAGGGGACAGACTGTATTGTAGTTTTGTGACTCAGTTACAATTTATAGCAGTATACGTCATTCTCTCAGGGTTTGTTCTGTATTTGGTTTATTAACCGTGCAGTGGTGGGTTTATTTCTGAATAAATTTAGAGCTCATGAAAAGATCTGGCTTGATGGTTTTTGAAACTGTCAGGAATTTTAATACTTTTGCGATATCTTGGCAGAGCACTAGTAACCACTTACAAAAAGTTACCAAGAAGGTCCTAATCCTGCACGGTTCCTTTATAGCTCTTGTTAACAGAAGGTGTAAGCAGGGAGTGCTGAAGGTGCTGAGCACTTCTTGAAGCGCTTGCACGTGCAGTCACCTTGCACGACTGAGTTGAACGTGAAATGGTAGTTCAGGCTCCCTGGCCTCTCCATTAGGATTGTTCATGAAGGTTCAGGCAGTAAAGGGTGGGCAAGCAGAGCGCTGAGAAGGGCTTCAAGCATCTGCTGCTGACAGTGAGTATCAACAGGGACTAGGAATCTGTTGCAGGCTGCTGCGTGAGCTTAGCTGACTTCTCAGAGTAGGAGCAGGCTGTTAGCTCTGTGAGTGAGGATGTAGCTGTGCAGGGGAGGCAGCAGAACTTCTGACCAGAGAGAAGGGAAGGGCTAGGGAAGGATGCTCTGGGTACAGACAGGCATTCATCGAGTATGATGGAAAGCAGCAATAAAGGCAAACCCAAGGATGTTCATATCTTTGATGTAGATTTCCTGTGGTTGAATTACTCAAGCCACCGTGTCTGTACCTCCCACTCTTAGCTTCAGCCTCCCTGCCTCTGTGCGAGTAGGGAAGCTGCATCAGCTGCCCAGCTATTCCCAAAATTCTGCTCAGTATGCACTATGATGTCTTATGCTGTCATTTTTGTTTAACTTATGGATAGTCCTTAAGAAAACTCCTGGGTCTGAAGACATTCAGGCTTTTGTGACTGCTAAGTCTGGACTGGAGCCTGACATCTTGAGTGTAGCTCTTAATATCTGTGAAAGGTATAGCAGAGAACAAAGATATGTTACCTTACTAGAGGTGACTGGCAATGTAATGCAGTCCTTGCCATTCCATCAGCAAGCTCGCATCTGTAACCCAGAAAGAGGGGTTCAGACACCCATTATGTTTTCATAAGACTTAGTAAGGAGTAAAATCTCACAGACTGAAAATCTTAATGTGCATAAATAGGCCTTCTGAAAAATCATTCATCCTGGCTAGGCCTGAATGGGTTTTGCATTATTTTTTCTTCTACAGTGTTTTATGTGCTGTAATTGCCAGAGTCCAGGATTCTGAAATAAGTGACTGCAATGGAAAACATTTCCCGTTTTCACATTTTTTCCTGTCACTTACTGTGATGAGGCACAGAAATATTACTTTCCAGAGTGGAGACGAGATCTTTCAGTATGGAGAGCAGGGAGAGCAGATTTCAGACTACATCCTTTAGTCTCAAGGAATGCATTTTTGCTTCATTGCTTTTAGGATGAAAAGAAAAGAAACCACCCATTTGCTTCTTGACTCGAAAAATCGTAAACAGGCTATACCTAGCCAGTTGCATTTAAACAGACTAGGAAATGGAAGTTCAACTGACTGCAAGGGCACACATTTGTTTTTTAGTAAGCATTATGATGGGATTGCCCTCTATGGCAAGAGATTTAGCCTGCTGACCTGATGTATTCCTTCCAGTATTCCTGTCTTCAGCAAAGTGTATAAGTAGTAAGAATAAACCTCCTGTCCTTTCTGGGACTTTGTACTGATAAGTGTCTAACATTATGGAATTGTCTGCACTTCTCTAGATCTGTTATTTCTCTTTGGCTGCACACTCATGCATACGTTAGAGTAAATTGAAAATTTCCTTCACAGTCATCAGGATTACAGTTTTTTTTTTCTTTTTAATTACAACTTAGAGTCTAGAAAAAATGTCAGGAAATATTTTGGCTAGCTAGCCTACTGCAGGCAAACTGATTTTACCTCAGGTATCCCTCAGCATGACTATAGAAGTGGTGTGTTATTTCCCTCTCTCCTTTTTCTTCCTCTTAAACTTGTCATAATTTAATTTTAATGAAAAGTGGGCCTTAGCATACTTAAAACGTTTCTAAGGATAGTATATAGTAATCTTGATAAGCAGGACTTTAGAGGGTAAAGCATTATTTTATCCCTCTGGGAGTGTGCACATTTACACCGTAAGCTTCAGGTGCTTGCAGTGAGGACAGATAGGTTTTAATATTCAGTGCCTTTGAAATGGTGTCATTGTATTTTTAATGAAAGCATTGTGTCTTTGATTACAGGAGCATGAATACCTTGTTTTTAAACTGCTTTCTTATGGCAGTAAGGATACATGATTGCATTACCTCTCTATCAGTCCCTGTCCAAAAATTTTTGACATGCTTGGCCAAGCATTTCAACCAGATTTGGAAACAGAAAAGGAGTATCAAAATATATTCGGTTTCTACAAGCTCCAAGAAAATTGGTTGGATAGAGGAAAGATACCCGTATCCGTGCACCTGAGGAGGGACTGTCACATAGCACTCAACTGATATAATATCTTCTGAAAGATAATGGCCAACTTGGCTGGCTCATAAGTGCATACATAGGTTCAAGTCAGCCAAAAAAGTAGGGGTTGTGGGAGTGTATTCAGGTGCTGGGGATGTAGGAGGGGCTGAGGATTTGAGGAGGATAAGAGACAGCATCATAGAAGCTTGAGGTACATATTGCAGGAGCTGGGTTTGTACAGCAGAAGCATACAGGGCAGTAACCAGTGGAAAACCAGGCTTCCTTAATTCTGCAGACTGAAAGCATATTATTTAATACAAAAGCAAAAGAGATTTATGAGAATTACAGTAGTATACTTTGGAATCTACGTTAGCATTGTGAAATGCATACGTACTATGGATGTTAGATCTCTACCATTAGCTGTTTTGCTATGCAGATTCACTCCTACTGCTCTATGGTATTTGTTAGAGCAGACATAGACAAAGTTGTCAGAGTCACAGTATACTTCTGTTCAGAACTGATAATTGTATGTTAATCGGTTACTTAGGTGTCTGACACTTCATTTCTGTAGTATCTTGGAATCTCACAATTCGTAATGGATTTACCTTTACACATGCCATATTTCACAGGTAACGTTTACATTCTGTGGATTAGGAACTGAAAAACCTAGGCCACATAGTAAGTCCAAGGCAGAGCTAGGACTTGAAATGAGTTTCACAAAGTTTAGTGTACTGTGAGAAAATACTGGATTATCCTTTCTGATTCTTAACAGTTTTTCAAGGGCCATTTTCTGTCATCAGAACAAAACTGGCTTCTTAAGAACTGATGAGCTAAGAAGGTCTTGGACATCTAAAAGCATCCCTGCAACTCTATTTCTTGAGCAGATGGAGGGGATCAGGATAATAGGGAGAACATACGGGTATGAAATTGCAGAGGGATGCTTGCAGGAGCTTTTCTTCTGTGCAAGAAACATGGAGTGACTGGGGTCATTTCTGTTGAAATTTCCTGCCTAAAGGAAACAACATTATTAATCACTTCTTTGAGAT